GGGTTAGATCGCCGAAACAACAGCCCTTGGTCGGGTGAAACCCGAGTCATTCCGGTACGTAGAACCGGCTGTCGTGGGAATATCCGTTATGCCCTCCTTTTCATCGATTTTTCCGACGTCAGTGTTCCATGCGCACCTAATTTTTTGGTCAACCAAATGGCGGTATAAAGCAACGGTGGGCAAACGCGGCTCTTTGAGCCAAATGCGGCTCTTTGCTTAGCAAAGTACGGCTCTTTTTACTTTCTCTTTGCTTGGAACATTTTGGCCCTTTTTACTTTTTAAAATACATAATTCTTTGCTGGACATTCTTTTCCATTGTGGTGTTTTTTATTTTATTCTTTTTATACACATACGCAAATTGAGATCGGAACCTTACCCGCAATTGAAAATTGGCTTTCTGACTTAATGTTCTTTACCGATATGATGGAACATATGCCAAACTTGAATTCGTCTCTACAAGGGGAATAATAAAATTATAGTTTAAAAAACTAAAACCTCGCTTTTATAATTTCCATTAGTACTGTCATCAGGTATGTAACTTAGAAATCGCTGCATCTTTTAGGCGAATCAATATTACATAGTTACATCCCGAGCTAATAAAAGGGAGGTAAAAAAATGTTTTTGATTTGTCGCAAATTATTTTAAGTTTTGAAGGTAAACTACGTATTTTTATTCATGATCTCAAAAAAAGAATATTTCATCATTTTCCATGGATAGAAAAAAATATTGCACGTGATTTAAAAGCAGATTTTGAAAAAAGATTTGCCGATTTGAAATTATTTAAATGTACATTTGCATACTTCATAAACCTTTTTTATGTAACATAATTGAGGATGAATTTACAATACCCGAAATACTCCTTTTTAAGAAAAGCGAAGAAGAGTTGGAGTTTTTGGAATTAAAAGATAAGGCACTGGAAATGCAACATAAAACTTTTCCATTGCTTGAATTCCGACAACAAGTAGGTACCAGATTTAAAATATCGGCTGTTGAAGACAGCTGTGTACCGTATATTTTCAATTTTTGGTACAACGTATAACTGTGAGTCTTTGTACTCTACAATGAAATTTGTAAAGTCATAATACCGTTCACAATTAGTTGCATTCGCGTACCTAATAATTATTGAAAGTTATAAAAACCATCAGATTTTTGTGTTCGCAAAGTATGGGGAAATTGAGAGAGCAAACTGACATTTAATTCTGAGGGAAAGCTGCTAGTTTATGCTGGAAAAATTTTTACCAACAGCAATTTACCAACAAGAAAACAGCTGATCAAAAGCAGCTGGTTGGAATTTACGCCAATCCCTAAATTGAATTTGATGGTTTGGAAGTTAAAATAGTAAAATGCGACTAATTAAACTTGTAAGAAGTAAGTAATTATTCCTTTAGTCAGTGAACTGTGTCAGGATAAGACTTCGGGATTTCTTTTCTTATGTTTTCAATTTTACACTTTTGAATGTAAACAAAATTTCTATCAGCTGTTGCAAGTTTCTGCAAATTTTCTGTGCGCGTACTATTTTGGATATTTTTCTCTTGTGAGAGACCAGATGACATTTCGCCGGAATTTTGCTGTTGGGCATTTTTTACTAGAAATTTTAAAAGAACGTACCTATTGACTAACCAACATTTAGCAGAACTGTTACGAACGGCTTTAACTGACGTAAGCCAGATTTTGAAAATTTGGCCAAAGAGATCTTTTGAATTTTCTTTAATATCTATCTTACGGACATTAGAATAATAATAAAATTATCTACTGTTTTTCATTTCTAATAATACTTTTATTTAAAAAAAAATTGTTGTTTTTGCTGTTTTTTTGTGGCTCTTTGTAGCATTTAGAATTTACATGTGGCTCTTTTCGGCCTCGGCCTTGCCCACCCCTGGTATAAAAGCTACAAACCGGCAAATTTTTTTACAAGTGACTTCAGTTTATTTAATTCTGAAGTCGTACGAATGAGGCGTCCGCAACGCAGGATATGCCCATATGCGCAATTTCGGTGCCCCAATTTTAGTAGAATAAAGTGTAAGTTTTAAGTTGCTAAAAAATCGCGTTAATTTTTGCCAATTTTGTCACGTATTTTCTCCCATACAAAATATGTTCGACTTTTTTTATGAAAAAAAGTGCGTAATACATTCAGCAAAAAAAAATTTTAAAATTATTACTATTTTTTAGGAACTTCAAACTTGCACTTTATTATGCTAAAATTTAATGGGCTATAAAACTGCGTACACCAAAAAAATTAAAAAAAAAAAATGTGGTTAAAAAGTTTAAAATTTAGATGCTATTTTGCTGCATTTTTATAATTTTTGCACAAAGTTTGAGATATGATATGGATATGGTTTTTGTTAGATAATGAGCAATACTTTTATAAAAAAAATTAGAAAATAAGAAGAATTAAATAAAAAAATTAAATAAGGCAAAATTTGTTAAAATGTCGTATGCCTAATAAATTTTCCATACACATATATATGTACATATTGCACACGAGCTATTTTGCTGAATTTTTATAATTTTTGCACAAAGTTTGAGATATGAATTTATATCGTTTTTGTTAGATAATGAGCAATACTTTTATAAAAAATAAGAAGTATTAAAACAAAAGAAAAATAGGCAAAATTTGTTAAAATGTCGTGTCCCTATTAATTTTTCCATATATATATGTATGTACAAATGGCACACGATCTTCAAAAGTGGCACAACTCAAAATTAGGCATTTTTAAAATTGTTTTATGAATTTCTTATCATAATTTTTTTTTTTACGTTCACCCTACCGCAATACAATAATTATTTTCAGACATCTGTCTATTGGCTGCCCGCTGTCTGGTTAGTTGTAATCGGGCAAGTGAGAAAGTTACTAGCCCCTCAAGACTTCTCTACATTTGCATATGTATGCATATACATATGTATATACATACATCCATACCCTGCAGCAAAATTTAGAGACAGTCTGACAAAGCGCTAGTTCCGAACTACATATCTCAGAACTATCTTTGAAGTAGTGCAAAAGGAATGCAGAGCGGGACAGTTGAAACTTGCGGTGTATATGTGCAAATGCTCACTACTCGTACTCCGACTCAACCATCGTGGTCGCGGTTTCAAATCGCGGTGGAGGCAGTTTTCAAATTTAATGAATTTAAATTGTTGCGTGCAGCTTACAATATTTNTTGAAGTAGTGCAAAAGGAATGCAGAGCGGGACAGTTGAAACTTGCGGTGTATATGTGCAAATGCTCACTACTCGTACTCCGACTCAACCATCGTGGTCGCGGTTTCAAATCGCGGTGGAGGCAGTTTTCAAATTTAATGAATTTAAATTGTTGCGTGCAGCTTACAATATTTTTATTTTTTATTAATAAAATATGTAACAAAAACGGAATTTATAAAAGAAACGAAAAAAAATTTCCAAAAATCGAATCGCAAAAACGTTTTCTTACAAAAACAAACTCTCCAAAATGGAGCCGGTTAAAAACTGGTTGCAAAGTAAAGCACTGGGCGACAATTGCCACCGCCAATGACATCGCCGTGTAAAACTGGACAGTTGAAAGCATTGCTTGGGTATTGAGATAGAACTGGTACTGTCGGCAAAAGGTTTAGTTCTACGCTAGTTCTAGGCTAGTCAGATTTTCTGCAGGGTATGTATGCACACATATTAATCTAGAAATGATAAAGATATTACACAGATAATAATAACGGCAAGCAATAACTTGCAAATAATATATTGAAATAATTTTTTTCGAAAGCATTGCCCCATCATTTATATTAAACAAAAGACACTTTTGTAATGAAATACGCAATATGTATATATGTATTATGAGTGTTTTTTTCTTAAATAAATAATATAAAAAAAAACTTTTTAATATACAACGCTTTTATAAATGGACTAAAAAGTAGAAAATAATATTTCTCAGTCCCATAGAATTTGTTTTGATAACTTTTGATTTTGAAATTTTAGCAAAAGTCGTTAAAACCAATTTATGAGATTGAAAATGAAAAGCAATTGAATTTGACATAATGGCAAGTAATTTTTAGCAAAAAAACCGACTTAAAAAAAATATATATATGTATATATATATATTTAATAATCCAATGATCGGATCTAAACCAGATTAGTATGGGACCACCTCTGAGACACTACCTTTCCGATGCAAAAAAAAATCGGTTGACGCGATCCAAAGTTATGCGGTAACATACATAAGTACATAAAAAAAAATAATATTCCGACGAACTGATAACCTCCTCCTTTTTTGGAAGTGGGTTAAAAATAAACCTTAAGCGATCTGGTCGGGGTTGTTGTAGCCACTAAAACAACAACTGGACCTTAATTTTTTACATGTATTAAATTGTTTCAGTTTCCTTGGACGAGTGTTATGAACGAACTCCATTGTAAATGTTTTACCTCATAAATTCGTCAATAAGTAGCATTGAAAATAATTTAAAGCTATACTGCCTATTTTATATGCTACAAAAGTTTTATCATATGCATTATTATACTTACTCTGTTGTTCGTTCTTTTTCTACGCTTAACTCTTGCAATTCTGGTTTCGCTGCGTTAATTTGTCGTTCAAGCCGTTTGTAGTCTTCCTTCTTATCTTCTACATATCGGTTTAATTTCCCCATTTCTGTACACAAAGAATGAAGCTTCATTTTCAATAACGCAGCGTTTGCCTGTAACTTTTCGAGATCCTGCTGGCGAAGTGCAGACGATCCATTCCCTCCACTTGTGCCGCCATTAGCATTTGTTATTGTACCAGCTCCGCCGACCTGCGGCTGGGCTGCAGTACATATGTATGATTCTAAAAGTTTAATTTGATTTTTAAACATTTTTTCCGCCTTAAGGAAAACTTCTTGATCTTGTTTCTTTTCATTTAACTCCGCTTCAACATTTTTGAATACTTTCATCTTTTGATCTAAAAGATACTGCTGTTTGTTAAGCATATGATGCAGACTAAGAAACTTGTCGGCAAGAAAGCGCAGATCACTGTGGTCATCTTCCTCCGCTGGTTTTACAATTGGATTGCTTAACGTTATGTCCAAAGTTTTGTTATATAGTTTCAAGGAATTTACTCTGTAGTAGTTGATTAACTCAACTACTGAATTAAACTTGCAATCCGTGAAACCATACTTTCCATTCAGATGGCAAATCTTTATCAACTTTTCCGTTCCATCTTTAATTAGAGTTAGTGTATATTCGCCATTTTTATTCAAGGCATCACGTACAAGGAAACTGCCATCTGGCTCGCCAGACAAGATGTTCTTAACTTCCTCACGTGAAATTTCTCCCCAATACCATTCTGCTTTGTTGAGCTCATCGGCGTTGTGGTCATATTGTTGTTGCCCCGCACCAGGTGGTTGGGGCCGCATTGTAGAGTAATGTAACGGAGAAGGATACACTGTAATATGGTTATTTAGAACATAATTGTTGCGTATTTAATTCGAAATAAACAAAACTAGGTGGTATACATAAGTATTTGAAGAAAATGTTATTCAATTTACCAATAATACTTACTTCTTCTTCCGTTTGTGGTATATCGCAGGAAAATCACAGAAAAAGCTAAATTTTCTCTTCTGACGTCAAATTTTCGTTATTAGTTGGTTTGCAGTATACTATTTGTTTCAAATTTTATATCTAGTACCAGGACGACATCTTCCAATATAGACGTCGTCGTTCGTTTCTAATAGAGATGAAGGAAGAGCGTCACTGAAGAGGAGGATAGCGCTAATCAACTATGTTTACTGCTGTTGATACCTCGGCAGCAGCTTTAGCTCTTCCGCAGCATACACAGCACACGAACACATACACCAGAAACGAGATTTTCTTCTTATTGTTAGCCGCACACGTTTATTTTAACAGCATGCTAATCCGATTTTCACATTTTTCCTTCAAAGCTAGCCATTTTAAAGACAATTTGCTCGAATTCACTTCGTAAAATGTCACACAGTGCAATGTAAACACAAAAGCAATATTTTCTCCAAATCTAAATAGGAATATCGACAGAATAAGAAATCTAACCAAAAACGTCGAGCCTGTCACAAAAGCAAAAGTAGCGTACACATTCTCTGCCGACAGCAACGAATTAACCCAACTCGCTGGTGTAAAGTCTCCCAGTGATGGAAAACGCAAGTTTCCATAAACTGAAAGCTCAGGTAGAGCTCAGTACGGCGCATATACATTAGGCAATGCCGGCAAGACACTAAAGAACTACGTATTAGTTGTCAAATACTACGGCTATACGTAAGCAATTTGCAAATACCTAACTCACTGTTTATTCGATGGTGAAAAATTCTTTTTTAACATTGCCTGATTATAAAAAGGCAATGATATGACCATCGAAACAGAAAACAAAGTTAAAAATGGCAACGTCTTGATTATAAAAAGACAATAAGATGGCCATCGTAAAAGAAAATAAACCTAAGAATGGCGGCGTCTTGCGTTTATTTGCAAATAGTACCTCGAATCAATACTTATTTGCGTGATTTAGTTATTTGCGAATAACGAATAATAGCAAGAATTTGTAGCTCTCCCGTGTTGTTACGCTCTCGATTCAGTGCTCTCTTGCAAATTTGTTGGCTTATAATACACTTTTCCAGTAAAAATTTGCAGGTTCCAGTACAAATTAGTACTGACTATTGGTTACTATACAAACCTCATAATGTTCGATAACGAAACTGTTTTTCGTATCGATACTGAAGTGCGTTGCCTGTATATGTACGTACATGCTAGCATGATTCCTGTGAGGTACAAGTGCTTGATTGTATCAAATTGTTCGAATCGATACAAAAATATGTTGCGTGTATACATATGTATATATGTATGTGCATGTATGCATATGGACGAACGATCATTTCCTTATGCTGCAAGATTTCTTGCGATGATTCTTGTGAGGTACAAGTGCTTGATTGTATCAAATTGTTCGAATCGATACAAAAATATGTTGCGTGTATACATATGTATATATGTATGTGCATGTATGCATATGGACGAACGATCATTTCCTTATGCTGCAAGATTTCTTGCGATGATTCTTGTGAGGTACAAGTGCTTGTATCAAAAGTAAAGCTGAAATTAGTCAAGAACGCAGAACGTATACTTAAACGCAGTCTGTATACGCAGAATTTTGTCGATTACTGGAGCCCTCAGTGTTGCTTACTGCAGTGTTGCCACTCATCATTGCCTTTTCATAAACTTACCTTTTCAACTACAATTTTTCGTGCTATAATAGATCCTAGCTAGATATAAACTACTTAGTTTTCAACAAAAAACTTTATTCAATAGTAAATTTCAAATATTTTAAACGTATTTTGAATAGGAAATTATACCTTTTTTACCATTTGCGAAACCGACGAAGTGGCAACCATCTATAGAAGGAAGAAATCAGCTGACACGGAAAATCTAAATTCCGCAGATTTCTGCGCTACGGCCACAACTACACAAAAATTCTGCGGTGTTGAGTTTTCATTTACATGGCGCTCTGGTAAGACAGATCGTTTCAGCTGACTCGGGTTTACGTACCGGTAGGTTTACGTTCTTGACTAATTTCAGCTTAAAGAGTAAAGTAACGATACGAAAGATACGGGTGTTGATTAGAATAGTAACGAATACAAGCGGGTATCCGAATTTTCATTACTTTTACAGCTCTATAGCGTACACTGTGTACACTGCGTACGGTACACAATCTTTGACGACAGCAACGAATTAACCCAACTCGCTGGTGTAAAGTCTTCCAGTGATGGAAAACGCAAGTTTCCATAAACTGAAAGCTCAGGTAGAGCTCAGTTACGGCGCATTTACATTAGACAATGCCGGCAAGACAATAAAGAAATAGATATGTATTAGTTGTCAAAAAAGCTGATAATTAACTCCGCGACGCAGGCGTCCTGACAATAGTCATGTCAATGGCATGGCATTTCGCTTAAGCTATTTAAGCTAAAAACTAAAAAGTAATAAAGAAGAGACAAATTTATGTACACATCAGCGTCTCTTGTGTTATTTTAGTTCTTTTGTTGTGAATTTCTCTTTTTTCTCGCTCAAGACGTCAAAATTATTGTCTGCATACGTCAAATCATTGTCCGATTTACAGGCTAACCTAATATTCACGCACGCCGCCAATTTATTGTCAAAAATTTCTCATGCACATGCAACTTGTATGAGATCAACCAAAATAGAACGGCGTGCGTATGAAGCTAACTCAATTTCCAATTTTTGTTCTGCGTGACATTTTGATTTGACGTTTCGCTCAATGAAATCAAATGCAAACGCATGCAAGTCAATTTCGGGTGACGCAAAAAAACAAATTCGACGGCATGCGTACCAAAACGCAAGCCGCGAATATTAGGTTAGCCTGTTACTGTCTTGAAAATAATCAAGACAGTGATTGAGGCAATTGCAAAAGTATGCAGGAAAAAGTGTACATCCCAGCAAACACAGTCTCTAACGTTAGAGAAATTTGGATTTCTACATTAGATAACTAGGGTACTTCTCTAATCGTTCTCGAGTCGATGACGAAGTTAGATAATTATATTAGAATTCGATTCGAGAACGATTAGAGCAACAACGCAAATTCAAATAAATGTAAAGAAGCAATATTCCAAATGAATTACTCATAAATTATTTTTAAGTTCAGATAATTCATTATTATTTAATTGTGAATACATTTAATACAAATTTTACAAACAAAGCAAGGCAAAACAGCAGTTTGAAATTCACACTCGAATCCCATTAGAGATCAACATTGGAATACGATTAGAGAATCAATATTTTCTCGAGTCGAGAACTATGCCCCATTTTTGTTGAGATCGTTATGATTCTCGATAGTTTTTCGAGTCGTTCTCTAACGTTTGAGATTGGAGAATGTGGCTAGTCCTCCAATCATTCTCCAACCGATAACTAACCTCAATGTTTGCCGGGATGTGTTGCTATTGTTAAGACAGTTTGCGTTTTCACAGTTCGTTCGAAATTTTGTCTCAAAATGTAGACGGCGGGGCCCCCCAAACGCCCCCACTGGAAAGGGGACAGTCCCCGCTTTCTAAAAAGGCATACTCTCCCCTTGGGCTCCTCCCACAGTCCCTTAGAGAACCGTTTGAAAGAGGGGGAAAAACGGAATTTTCTTAGGCAAACTGAGCAGTTTGAAGTGGAATATGATCCAATTAACAGAAACCGTGGGATTTTTTAATAAAAGAAATTATGCCAAATTAGATATCGGGTGATTTTGAATAAAGAATAAAAAAGTTAATTGAAAATAGAAAAAAAAACGAGTTTTTATAAAAAAAAATTTTTTTTTTAACAAATGTATTTTTGCGTAGAATTCCTTTCTGCGTAGGCGGCCTTCGGTCGCACTTAGGGATTATAACCCTCAGGCAGTAGAATTCTCCTTTCTGTGTTGCCAAAGAAGGGGGGCTGAACACCTCTTGCAGAGAATACCTTTCGGCGTAGGCCGCCTTCGGCCGCACTTAGGGATTATAACCCTCAGGTAGTAGAGTTCTCCTTTCTGTGTTGCCAAGAAAAGGAGCTGAACACCTTTTGCAGAGAACACCTTTGTATATTTTTAGTGCTTACTATTTTCTTTTGTCTCTCATTCTTTTGCATATTTTGGAGTTTGACAGCTGAACTCCGCCATTTAATTTGCAAGTTATAACTAATCGAGTAAAGTGTAAAGTGAAGGGGAATACAAAAATGTATTGGTGAAGTGGCTGCTTTAAGGAGAATAGGAGTGATAAATGTACGCTAATTTCCGAATTTTACAAAAAAGGGCATATTTCAAACCCAATTTGTAAATAAATTACTGACCAAAATTTACAAAAGTGAGTGTTAAAATAATTCGTACACCCTTGATTACAAGTGTGTGGATTTTTTTTTTTTGGATCGGGCCACCCCTTTGAACGGAATAGCCCGAAATAGTTGTGAGCGCTACTAAACCCCACCCGATATGTTTGCTTTCATCAGCTATTGTCCCTAATAAACTAAAAAAAATTGATTGGTATTGCCATAATGCAAGCCTGCTGCGAGGTCGCAAAATGTAAACGCGTAAAAAACATACCTTTGAGTGTGACAGCGTCGTTTTCTAATTTTGTATGGATTTACACCACAAATTTTACAGTTAGAAAACGTCTTAAAATGTAGACTTCTACATATTAAGACACTATTTGGAACGAGCTGTGAATACCCCAAGTATCGTCCGGTGCAAGCCCTGGTTAGTATAGAATTAACTTAATTTAACAGAAGCCGTAATATTAGGCCTGTTTGCGTACGAAGTATCCAGTAAAATCCAGTATTAATTTCACTGTTTTCTTACTGGATGGCGCTTTCGTACGCACAAATTTCCAAGAAAGGTCGGTGTTACAGTGGCCACATACGATGAACATGTGAGCGAGCATGCTCGCCAACATGCTCGCCGTCCTTTGCCACAGACGGTGAGAGGCTCATATGTGATTTTGTCGTGATAGCCTAAAGATGGATAGCAAAGACGCGGATGATGCAATTGAAATGCTTATGACTTAGGTTTTCTTTTTATGTTTGTATGTGTTACTTAAATTTATTTACATTTTACTTCTATATATCGTCACTAGATACGAATAAAAGCGCAGGCTCAAAAGTTGCTCGCGAAAAAAGGCGCATAAAAAAATCTTCAACGAAGAAAGACTCTCAACATAGTTGACGGCGAAGAGAGACACGTTAAAATATTTGACGGAGTAAAATTACGCGTAATCTTATTTTCGCAGTCAACTATGTTTGCGGGTATAACAATTTGTAAATTCCCCAAAAAATTTGGGGAATAATGCTGAAGTCACCGCCCTTGGCCAAGTATAAATCTATGATTACGCGTCTTCCTTCGCCGTCAATTAGTTTACGCGTCTTTCTTCGCCGGAGTTTTTCTTAAGGGCCCTTTTTCGTAATACTTTTTTTACGCGTCCTTTTTCGCTGTCGAAACGCTAGCGCGCCTTTATTCGTGTCTAGTGACGATATGTTCATACGTAAACATACAGTAATTTAGCCTCATTTATCAAAAATTCAATAACTCACATGGCTTGAATGCACTTATCCGCCGAAGTGCGCACTGCAAGTATCAACACAAAATGAGGTTGTT